TTTTTTTTTTTTTTTTTTGGTGTTTGTTTTGTTTGAAAAATTTTTAATTTCATTGGTATCTATGGTATCTACTATGGGACTTAACATTTTATTTTATTTTTTGAAAATGATTCCGTGCAAAAGGAAACCATTAAAAATTCAAAATCTGGAGGGAAGAACTTAAATTTTCATGGTAATTCATACAAAAAATCAAGTACTTGCAAAATTAAAATGATTGGAGGTAAATTTAATTTGTTTTTTGCATTCGTATCGATTGCGTCAGATTTCCCCGATTGCCTTGAAATATTCTAAAATGTGTTAAAATTACAAATATATATATATATATATAAATAATAATAATATAATAATAAATATATGTATAAAAATTATATACATATATATAGATAATTTTTTTACCTAAATTTTACAATAAACAGCAAAAGTGAATTTTATACTCGACATTAAACAAAAAAATTCCATCTTTTCATGACGTATGAGTATAACGACATAAACGCTTAAGAGGTTAACAGCGATTAAATGGTCATCCGTCCAATGGAGATGATGGCCACCTTTCACGCGCCAGCGTGCGAGTTAATATTATAGTTGCAACGTAATTAGATTTAGCTGAGGGCTGAAGAGAAATGTAAATCGCACGTGGAGGAGCGATTGATTTTCGACGAAGCTTACGAAACCGGTCGAACAATCGCTTTCTTCTTCGTGTGGCCATTGTGCTTCTTGTGCTTCTTGTGCTTCGTTGAAGCGTCGCATTGCTGAAAATTTGGAACTTTGTCATTTTCAATTCCAGATACTTTAGATAGTTCTGTCATTTCGTAGTAAGTGAGAGAGATAGGCTTTGATATATTTTTTTTTTTTTTTTTTTTTTTTTTTGAAAAATGAGAAAAAAAATGTTCGAGTGTTTCTAGCTAGAAAGTTGCAAGGATATTTTAAACAATCGTAGGAATTGCGAATCTAGACGCTTTTGTAGTTGGGCAACGAAATTACACATTATTCCTTTCTTAAATTCGGTGTCTGCAACGAATCTGCAATAATGATATTAATGGGGATAATCATTTTTTTTTAATACATTGGAATTTGATACAATCTCAATTTTCAAGCATTTAGATATCATCGTATTTTAATACTCGAATTAAAAACTCTTTCTTTCTCCAGTCGATCGAAATCGATCAAAATTTGTTTGCTTCCTTGCTGTTACTTGGACCATTTTTTGACGAAACTGAAGAAACCAAAAATATAAATTTATTCATAATGTGTAATATACATATGATGTGTACCTTTTATTTGTAAACAATATATATAATATGTACTTTTTTATTTATAAACAACTTGCGATTTAAATCTTGAAATAATCGTCTCTTTCAACGAATTTGGAATTTTGCATAGATCAATACAAACGCAAGCATTTCATTATCTCGAAATAAAAGGAAATGAATTTGCGCCATTCTTAAAATAAATGATCCGAGTAACAATAAGCAACCGGGCAAATTTTCATCGATTCTGGCTACTCGGGGAAAGAAAGATAGTTTTTAATTCGTGTATTAAGTATTATGAATGGTCCGATTGTCGTACGACAATTCAGTGTCGTTCAGTGTTTCGTTTTCTGTTCCCGTTTTTTCGCAGATGCGCATCGAAAGATTGACGTTTCCCCCAACAGCGCGATGAACACAGTTTAATTACTCTCTAAAGAGTCTGATAAATCGCGGCTTGTTTTTTTTCAATAGCATCTAAAACCGGAAGCTGGTTCTCGCTTCGACGTGCGGACGAAGTTTTGCATGATTATTCAGGTACAGCAGGCCAGCTGATATTTTCGTTCTGTTCTATAATTACTTTTTACGTAATCACACGATTGTGAAAGTGACCGCTCATCGATATCGTTGCCTTTCGTTACTAATCGAACAACGATCGGGTAACAACTTCAGTGATTTTTCGTTTCAAAGATTTTTCAACATCTCCTCGTACGTGTGCATATATTTAATTTCATTCGTGTAACGATTCATCAGTTAAATATCGAAATATTCCTACGAAATGCTTTCCATCTGTGTTTCGTACTAAAATTAAATTTAACTAGTAAATTTTACATTAATATTATTTAATTTCGTTATAATCACGTCCTCTGGGTCTTAATAATAATCTATGTACAACATCTATGATACGGTTTATAGTTTCATTATAATTCTGGATAACAACAATTACGAGTAAAATTAATTGAAACAGCATGAAGATCACTTATTACATAATTCGAGAGTCGTTAGCAGCGTAATATGTTGTTAATAAGCGTATTTCTGTTTAATCGCGCGAGGCAAGTTGAACAGTTTAGAAAAAATTGTTTTATGCAGCAATTATACAACAAATTTATGTAACTGTGCTAGTTGAAATCTAGTTAAAATCTTATTGGAATTCCGTGGTTAGCTGGATTTCAAAACGTATTACAACAATTTTCATTATTAACAGCGACAACGAAGGTATAACCGTCGTCTCTAATAATTATCCTGGTACATTTAACGCAACACGTATTTATTACATTGTTATAATTCCTCATCCTGTTCGATCTAATAATCCGCACGACGTATCAAACTACGAAACTGATTATTATGAATTTCGTCTCACTCTATTTATCGTTAAATCATCGTCTATCGTTACATTGTCGTTTTCATCGATCTTCTCGCGGAAATAGATGAACAAAAACACGATAATCATCCTCGATCGTTTATTTCAAGCAGAATCGTCGATATCCAAATTCCACTAGCGATCAATATTTTCTAACGAGGAACCGTCAATTTCGAGATTCAAGGATAATCGATATGTCTTGCCGGAGACTCGAGAGTGATCGGTATTCTTTCACGCAAAGTCGTCGATCTCGATACTGAAACGCATTCCGAATCGTAGAAATCATCGAATTCCCAGGCTCGAAACGTCCCCCGGCGCGGAGTCGACGATCTCGATTGAAAACTGTTCTTTGTCCACCGCAGGACGATTCACCTGCCGAAGGAATCGTTCAAAAATGGCACGGTCCAAGAGGTTCGGACGCGCATCCTTCACGTTCCACGGACACGTGAACACGAACGCGTCAGCGTCCGATGATTCGTTCGCATGTTGCAACCACTGTGCCACGCGACCGTACCGAAATCAGGACCCGGATAAAAGAACGCGGCTTTGTGAATCCTTAGACGAGGGTGGATTACTGCCAGATAGCGGTGGTGTCGTGGAGAACGATGTTGTGGTCGGCGATGGCACCTGCGTGAACACCTGCGGCCTCCACCAACATCAGCAGCAACACTCTCAAGGCCATCGTTATCGCCAGCAACAATCACTTCAACAGCAACAATCACAACCACAGCAACAGCAACATTATCAGCAACAACGTCAGCAGGAGGAGCTGGAGGACTTTCTGTGCTTTCGTGGACCACCGGAGCAAGAGATGGTGGCCCAAGAAATGGCACAGAGTTACACGCAGCTCCTCCAGCCGAGTCAAGAGCCGCAGGAGTTCATCTCGTTGGAGGAGCTTCATCCGCGTATCCATCAGGAGCACCGCGTTCACGATAGCCGCGGTCAGGTCGTTTCGGCGATCTCGTCGACCGGCAGCCAACTCTATCAGCACCATCATCAGCACCAACAGCAGCAACAAGGCAGTTACTATAACCTCTCGGCCGTTCAAGAGTAAGTGATCAAATGTAATGCGTTGTTGTCGTGTTTAAATAGTTGTCGTCGTCGTTTCACTGTTTACTCTCTCCTCGTTCACTGTGTGATTGTGTGTTAGTACCTTCTGGAAGCGAGGAAGCGTGGCTTCAGCTCGCTTGATTATCGATAGAACTCCATTTATTGGGATTGAGAAGTGACAGACAGCGATGAAAATTGGCCAAGTGTTGTTTGTTCAAATAAATGGAGTTCTACCACTTCCTATAGTTGTATGTTCTTTCTCGTCATGGATATATTGGCAATGAATATAGAGTAGCAAAACTCCTTCAAGATTAATGGACCGAGTATTAGTCAGCTAGCTTCAAACATTTTCAAATCATCGATACAATGCTACAGTTGCAAGAAAATTCGAATATGAAAGGGGATAGAGATGATAAATCGTTGAAGAAATGCGCAAACAAATACGTAAATAACACATGACTCTGATCGGTAATGGCCATTATCGATTCCTCCGTGCTTCGCGCTTCGTGGCATTAAATTACTAGTCTTTCGTTCAATTTTCTAAATTATACT